AAAAAAAGAAAACTCATTAAAAATTTAAATTATTTCCTTGTGAGACATTCAAAATGCGCTCCCAAAGTGATTGATTTATTTGATTTGATTAAAAATGATGAAAAATATTTGATTTTTGTTTTCTCAATGTTGAATTGAAAGTGGACAGATTTTAGTTTTTGATTAACGATGGGAAATATTTTTTGTCTTCCTCCCAAATGGCCTCGAGGACATTGCATACTTCGTTGTTTGAACGGAAACGATCGACCCACGGTTCGATGTAGCCTTCGAGAGTAGCCTTATACGTTTTCAATACAACTGAATCACCTGGAATACGTAAATTCATTATTTCGTTTCTGCGTAGAAAGAGAAATGTTTCGTTGACTTCAAAAAAAGTACCTTGGACATCGGTGTTTGCCTGCACCAAGATGCCTTTTGGCTCTTTGTGTGCCAACACGATGTCACGCCACTTTTCCCATGTGTATGGCTCAGTGTCGTTGGACACTTTCGAAAAGTGGTTGTACATTTTGGATGAGTTCTCGATGTCACCAGTCGATTTGTAGATTTGAAGCTTCAGTAAAAAGTTCTGGATGGCGTCGCGTCCAACCGTTCCGATTTTGGTACGATCAACCGTCAACAGTAAATTCTTTCCATCTTCGGTTTCTTCGATATTGATCAGACCTTGGCCAGCCTCTAGGAGCACCTGCACGATTACAAATCGAGCTTGAAAGTGCGCCTGCATCCATTTCTTCGACGTTGGATCGTACAACTCCAGTGAAATACCAACACCAGCCCAGATCAATGCCAACCAATTTACATAGATAATATTTTCAATTTCGTGTTCGTCGATTATACCGAAAATGCTAAACACATCACGATTCAAGCTGAGATACAGCCCAACGGCTTCAGCTCGACATTCTTCCTGTGAACGAAAAAGTCGAAGTTGGGGATTTGATTATGCTAAAAGTAGTGCTGATATTTCGCAAATGAATTCCGTTGATTGGAAATAATAATTAGAAACTTGGAATAATTATCATTTCGCAAATATATATGAATAGAAACTGAACAATAGAATTCAATAATTAAATTGAATTTTGACAGAAATCAATTGAAGTGGAAAATCTTGATTTCGAATTTTTTTATATTGAAAAATTCAACGTGAAGTATAACGTTTACCAAATTGGTAATTTGAAGTACTTTACTGTCAAGAAGTCACAGTCTCATTTTGAGCGCCACACGTCGCTTTTTATATGCGCAATAGAAATGCGATAAATTGCGAGTCGTGAGCAAGAAAATCACGCAAATAACTCCTCGATTATGACATAATGTTTCAATTTGCGTGGCCTAAGCTTATCTCTGTGCATTTTTTTGAACGTCAATCATTGTGAAAATAGGCTCATTATTAAACTCATAGACTCAACTTACATATGATGAGCCCATTGGACCGAATTTCGAATCATATGATTCACCTGGTTCATACCACGAGCTGACCAGTTGATTGGTCAGTGGATTTTTCACGGTGTCAATATTAAAATTGAATTTGCCATTTTCGTCAACGCAAAATAGTTTGCCACTTCCATGGCCCAGCAACTCGTGAAGACCAACTTGAACCTATTGGAGACAGAGAACAAAAGTATATTTTTAAACTGAATAAAGGAAATTTTCATTTGTCAAATGGAAAAGGTATTGTGTTTAAAAATGTAAAAATGATTTTTATGCAAATAAATGAAAATTCTTTCTCTGAAAATGGAACATTGATGCAAATCACCTCAAGTGCTCTAGCTTTGTACTTTTTCATTAAACTTTGATCAGCTTCCGATAAGAATGGAATGGAATCTTTGACGTTATTTTTGGACATGACATTGGCAAGTGAAACGTTTTTGAAGCCTTCATTTTGACGAATATCGTCATAGTTTGGAATATTGATTCCGGCTGGAACGACGCTGCCAGCGGATGTCAATACTTCAAGAGATGTGAAGTCGGGCTTGAGATAGTCGTCCTTCTCGAAATCCTTATCCCAAGGCAACAATGCAATCAAATTTTCCGCATTTTTCACCAGCTCGGCAAATTTGGCTGACATTTCCTTGTTGACCATTGCAACAAAACCTTCGAATTCACCTCGCATACCGGCCGGATCACGGTAAGTTTCGATGAAACCAAGGTAAGTTTCAACAACGGGACCCTTGTCTTTTATCCAGTATCTGTTTCAGTAAAGTCAACGATGAAATTGTTATTGAAAAAAAAAATTTAATTTTTAAAATTATTTTTCATTTATCCAAACGTTTAGACAAATAATTTTAGTATCGATATAAATTGAAAATCCATCGTAACAACTCTACCTTGAGCCTTCTTTGTGCGCTTCCAAACTACCTTCGGCAAAACTTTTGATGTATTGATCAATCATTTGTGTTTGATTTTCGTTTGCCGCATATTTTTTGGCAAGGACAAGATTTGTATTGACCAAGGCCAACAAACGCGAATAATCACCGCGTGTCACCACAAACGTATTGCCTTTGTATTCTTCGGCCGGTATCGTAATGCCATCACTTTCGCCCTGTTCAACCGATGCCAACTTAATGTCATACGTGGTGCGACCATTGGCCTCGGTCTTGAACGTACGACAAATGTAAGCGTCAAGTTTTTTCAACTTTAACCATTCGTTAACACGATCCGAATCTTCCACAGTGCAATTGTCGGAGAAATACGTGGTGATACCCTTATCATTGAGACCCAAACTTTTTGTGCGATCATTTAGAAAAAAAATTGGCTCTTTGCATTTGTTCCACACATTGCTAACCACATCGGCTTGTGTTTTGAACGCACGACTTGATTTGATTATCACATCGAATTGATCGGCATCCAAATTTGGGACAAATTTTGTGTCACCCATACCTAAAGTTGAAGGTATCATAGGCGTCAGTAAATACAGAAATAATTTTTTCCCGCTTTTTCTAACCAAAATTTCCATCTTTTTCTGTTAGATGGGAGTAACCTACCTTTGTA